GAAATCTTAGCCAAGAAAGGAAACTCGAAAGAAGGAATGGAAGCATGACAGAAGTATCGTACATGACACACACAGCCACGCTGAAATAATCCCCGCAGACAGCCCCGCTTCTAGAACAATTCTCTCAAGTCAGCCTCAGCGTGATGCAACCCCCCAGTGGGGATAAGATCTGCAACGCATAGGCGTTTTTGCTGATCTTGAGGACGACTTAGAGAGTGTGAGTGTGGATGAGCAGGAATGAGGAAAGGAAAAGGCCAAGGCTGAGAAAGCCTGGCATCGAAGATGGTTGCAGAAAATGGGTTCCTCGCTGCATGTCTTGCAAAAAAAGCAAAAGATGCCTTGCGTAGGTTGTTTTGCTGTCCTTGATGTAACAATATGTATACAAGAGCTGCTGGCTGCTCAGCTAGGCTGATGGCGAGATGGTGTCCAGTGTCGGTGAGCGGGCCAAAGCAATAATGCAGAGCTGGCGGTCAGTACTATGCCAATGGTTTGTCTGTGTAAGCTTGCTCACAGAAGAAGCCCAGAGTGAAACAGAAGTGTAGTTTCAAGCCATCCAATGCGATACTTGGTGTGTCGTGGTTGGCTGGATTGTATGGGCAAGGCCGTATCTCTGCCCACACACCTCAAGATCGACTGCGGCGCTTCTCTTTGCGCTTAGACTCGCACGATGTCTTACACCCGGGGCATTCGTAGCCGTGCTTTGAGATGTTGACTCTGACAAGGCATCGGGGGCAGCGCCACCAAGTAGAAGGAGTGTAGCGACCTTCGAGCCACTCTTCGTTGACAGTGGCGCCTCGCTTCATGATGTCTTCACAGTGGTACTCGCGAAGATGGTCTCGGAAGTGATCGCGACGGTGGAAGGGCTCACGAAAGCGAGTGCATCGAGGATAGTCACATAGATAGACATCCTTGCTCGATTCGGGAGCATGCGTGTTCTTGTAGTGACGAATGAGGTCGGCAGTACGTTTGAAAGGGCGAGAAGTACAGCCAGGATGAAGGCAAGAGACTGGCCAGTCATTTCCACTTGAGAAACACAAGAGTTAGCAATGTACTATCTTACAATAGGGACTGGACTTACGACTCGCCCCGTGGCACAGAAGATTCTCCAGCTCTTGTCTGACCAGAGGTATAATGCTGTTGATAGCTATGGCTTTGTTGATAAGCAGTATCGTCCATAGTTGGTGAGCCATACAGAGTGTAGTAGCTGCCGTCTATAGGTGACTCGGGGCCCCTGGTGGAAGCCTGGGAGTTACTGCCAGAACTACCATATCTGACCAAAGGCTGTGACTGATAATAGTCGAAGGAGTATCCAGTTGGCGACGAGGCCTGGTCCTGTGGTGATGAGGCATCATACCAGCTGCTGTTGTTCCAGTAGTTGGATCCCATTATGTATGATGAAAACTTGTCCTGAGATGGGGGAAACTTGAGCAAAGAAGATGGTATAGTATAAGTCAATTAGGGAGAAGGCAGCAAGCACGGGTGTTTAAGAGGACGAGCCAAGGGCTTGTAAATAAGGTTACGGAGGGAAGTAGATGATGTAAAGATAGAACAAGTATAGGCCGCAACCAAAGTAATATCTTGATGGCGGTCCTGGAATGGAAGAGAAGAAGTTTGGTGCATGAGACTTGATGTTATGATAATGGTCTAACAATCGAAGCAATGGAAGGGACCAGAGAGGTGGTTATATGTTTGGAAGAGTAAAGGAGTGAAGGAGGGGGGAGACAACTAGTGCAGCCCAGGATGATATTGGCCAAGGTGAGGCTCAAATCGCACATTGATTAGTGAGGCGAGGGTAGGAGTCATCTGTGTAATACACAAAGGTAAAAGGCAGTATGGACTTGAAACTGTAAGAGACGCCGATTTCCAGAAACAGCCGCGGTCGGAATTGGAAGAGAGCACCAGCTTGTACTGCTAGAGCTCCAGAGTAGTGTCCAAGGATCAATGACATGGCCAGGGTAGCTGTCGGGGAACGCAGCGGACTCCACCCGGGCCAACCTTCGAACAGATAGAAACATAGTTAGGTAACTTGATAGAAGGACAGCCATAAGATAACCAGTTCTGGGACCGGCTACTGGAGAAAGGCAAGGGTGGCAGTACACAGGGCAGGCATGGGTCTAAGGCGAAGCAGCATTTGGCGCAAGCTGGCTCGTGATGCGTAAATCGACACTTGTCGTTTGGGTGGGAGACTAGGGTAAAGTCAAGCTGAATGGAGATAACAGCAACGAGCATAGAGAACCGAGTCAAGACTGGAGACACCCTATCAAGTGTGGTGTGCTCCTGGCCGGTGTCCCAAGGGGGAAAGGGGACATAGATGGCGATGCAACAGTAGCAAATATAGGTAGCTAAGATAGCTCACTCTGAGGTCAGCTAGAGGTCCCCAGGAACAGCAATCGTTGGCTTGCATAAAAAGCTACGAGGTGGTGGTGCCCTATAGAATACCGGCTCAACCGGGATCTGTGAATGTCGCAGTAGCATGGAGGTACAAGCCCGGGACAAATCCAATGGGAGGCGTGTAATATGTGCATTTGTCGGTCCAGGATATGTATCCATAAGTCGTGGAACGAAGCTTTCAAACTGCAGGCTTCAGATTGGAAACTAACCAGAAGCCAGCCTTGACTGCTTCTGTGGAATTAGGAAACTGGCCGAGTGCCTGTTTCGGTAAGAGATAGAACCATGAGTCTAAGTGGTTGCGCCCAGCAATTGACGGCTAAGAGTGTTCAACGGAACAAGAAAACTTCAGACGCCCAGCCAGGGCGCAAAAATAATCCAGTACAAGGGCTTGCTCGGAAACACTAAACTTACCCAAGTCTTTTCAGCACTTAGAAAAGAGGAACTAGGATTTCTTGCCTCCCTTTGGGTGGTGATCAAACTTGCTTCTGGATGGGCAAGTTCCAACAGGGCGTGGCGATGCTCTGGGGCTGAAGATCATGGAGCAAATGATTCTGGCACGGGCTGGCGGCAGTGGATGCGGGAATGATTTGACATGCGCATCCCTAACGACAAGCTGTCCTTGACGACAGATAACCGAGAAACCGCACAAAGGCAGGACTAGGATAGGGGCTGTGCCAGGCCAGCTCAGCAGTTTTCGGTCACTACCAGAGGGAAAGTTGGCTTGGCCAGTGCGCTTTTGCGTGCATGTGCCACTGGAAGCTCACTTGAACGGTCGTCGACAACAGCGGGACAGGACAAATTTGGTGCTCGGTAACGGGAGGATTGAGTGCGGTATTCGATCGACACGACAAGGAATCCGTCCATACCGCTTCATCAGTAATCGGTCAATTATATTGGGTTGAAAGTTGGATGGAACAAAGGTCTTCAGGACTCTTGACGAGGCAGAATCCAATACAATATGCAATGGGCTTCCATCACCTAAGGTAGGTAAGGTACCTGTAGCTAGGGGAGAAAAGAAAACTTAGGACCTTGACCCTAAGCGATAAAATACTTAGGTAAGTCTATCCTAAGCTTAGGGAACTCTCTGCTGAGTTTATTTTGACACCCTGTATTAAGGTCCGGTGTTTTCTTGCTCCCTGAGAGGTAGGTCCACCTTACACAGGAAAGGCACTGCAGAGCGGAGGTAGAATTCCATCCCAGCGGAGGGCAGTACCTGCCTCCTGCTCGCACTCCTTACCCCTCCTGCTCCTGCCCTGTCGATGGCCCCTGCTACGGTAGTGGAAACCCCAGCCCGGGGTTGCTTGCTCCTTCTAAACGTCGGCGTTGTATTGGCCAAAGTGCCATCTGACATCCTGACTTCCAGGTTCTTATCCATAGAATCATCTAACATGCACTTTTATGCGGTGGCCTAAATCTAATGCTTCGCATTAGCACCAAGACAACCGCTGGGTATGGATAATAGCTTGTCGATCTCGGCGGCGCAAGCATTAAACAACTTCTCGAAGCTCACGAGCACAAGCACAAGCACGAGCACGAGCCTCAACGCTATGGAGAAGTCAACAAATGCACCAATAACGCGGCGATCCCTTTGCCATGTGTCGATCAATTAACTCAACCAACAACGATATTTTGCTGCCTAGGCTCGGACCAGCTCAGGAATTCTGATTTTTGGTCATGGCACCTGTGAGCCAGTCCCAGTGCTCAATTGGCAACATGGGGCAAACAGCCAGCAATAGAAACCTTCGAGGTCTCCAGCAGAACAGAGCACAGACAAAAATAAACCCAGCATCGTCATTCTAGCATCTGCCACACATCTTTCTGATCCCACCTATCAGCTTGAATTACAAGGTTGGAGGTGGTCTGGGTTGTGTAACTCGCTGCGTCTATCATAGCCTGGTGTATCATGGTCAATCTGACATGTCTCAACAATTGACAAGGCGGTTCTTCAGGGCACCCAAAGTGATGAGCAAACGTAGCAAGCGCCTGAACGAAAACCACCCTGAATGCCCTAAAAGGCCTTGTCTCTCTTCGAGTCCTACCGGATCCCTACCCGGAATCTGCAAGACAACGCTGGGGAAATCCCCCGATACAAGTGTTCGACTTACCAATGTATCTTACCTGGCAAGTCAACACACCGAATAGTGTAGAGCCCCCAGGGAAAAGCTCAAGGAGTCTTAATAGTGAGGCTGACTGGAGCAGCAAGTGTCAAATGCAGGAAGAGAGGAGCAGTTGAAAATGGTTCGCCCGTTATGAGATCATGATCGTTTTCGACAGGGTCATCAGACTCACTAGAACCCTTTCCCCATCCGTGACAAGCTCGCAGGGAAGCCAATCCATGCCACCCTAGCCACGAAATTGACACTCGCTTGCCAGGAATCTCGTATCCGAATCTTTGCGAAGTTGACCAGCATGGAAGCATTCTAGAAACCTTCCTGTTGTAGCCTGCATTGGTTTCGTTTCAAATCCCAGTCGACTTGTACGGTGACGCCGATGCAGTTGGGGGCGACAATCTTGTTACCCAAATGGCTACCCTTAACTTTGAGTCTTGGACGATATAGAAGCAAGCGCAGAGCTGTGCCGCAAGCTTGTCATTCGAAAGAGGGTATGCCTCACCCACAAGAGCGCTGGATGGCGAACGCTGCTGAAAGTCGCCTCGGCAGAGTCTGATAGGCATAATGACGATGGCACAAGGCACCCGCGTCACAGGCGACAAGGCAATCATTCCGCCAGCCCTGAACAACTGACGACGCAATTTGGGCAACCTTATCCTTGAGGAAGTGTGTCATCAAGTCATACACATGTCAGCTCAGGTTTGACAAACCAAAGGAATTGCTAAGAGGAGAAACGAAACTGCAGCTGTGTCGCCTGGGGCGGCAAGGGTCCTCATCTTGTGCTTTGTCCACTCGACTGTTTTCCCATATCCGAAAGCCACGTTGTCTGCGATGACTTGAAATGTGCTACAGATGTAGCATCGCCTCGATGGCCGGTAATGCGACCAGCCCACGCCGGTTGTGTATAAATCGCTGAGACAACAAGAAGAGGAAACTTGATGAGCCCAAAGAGTGTCTCACCGTCTTCCTATGGAGACGGGTCTATCTACATTCAAGTAGTCGCGAAATCCAATGCTCTTAGGTCACTTCTCGCCTTTTGGGCAGCAATGCAGCAGCCCTCAGAAATAGGGTTGTTCACCCAACTTGTCCTCAAATTTCACCAGTCTGAACGCTTCACCTTGACTACGCTTCAGGACGTGCCACGTCAGTGCAGACACTGGGCATTCAGCCACGGAGGAATGAAACACCTCACATCATTGTGTGCCACTAAGAGAGCCTTGCCTTAACGCCTACCGAGTCCGAGGCTGCGCTGGCTGAAAGAGAGGCTGTCGAGCTGCACAGGGTGGACGATCCGAGGAGCCAGTTCCTTTCGGAAGACATTGATCACGGGTATAATGAGGCAAACAAGCCACATACATTTGACCATACACTTCAACAGAATAGTCGTTCAGGGCGACAATGCCCTGCACTCGAAAGGCTCGTATTCATATCTCAAACAATGAGGTTGGCAACGCCCCGCGTAGCATGTTGCATATTTACCTGTTCCAGAAAGTACATCAAAAGCTGATGATAAAAGCAAGATGAGGTTGCCGCCTAAGTCCTTTCTTACTCTCTCTGTGCTCTTAATACGCCCTCTCCAGGAGTTCACAAAACCAAGGTGCGTCCAACCAAAACCGATAGCTCCGTCCCATATTTCTCATACACGGTCAATGGACTCAAATCTCCATTAGAGAAGCACCGTTGATTAGACCTCATCCTCAAGGAACTTGTAGACAAACTTGAAGTCAGCCTTGCGTCGATTCATCCTGCGCAGTCATGTCAGCATGCCCCCCCTCGTCATTTCGTCAGTCCACTTACCATGTGCTCTCATAGTCGAAAAATCGATATGTGCCTTGCTCAAAGTCTTCAGTGATGTTCTTAGGTTCCTCATGTCTTTGAAACCAAGTCTGATACTGCTTATGGAATCGCCAACTTTGATCTTTCAGAGCCTTGGCTGCCATGTACTGTTGGGCAGTACCCTGCTTATAGTAGAATACATAGAACAGAGTGTCAGGGTCCATACGGGAGTACAACCGCGGGTCATCGAAGATAGCGAGTGGCTCGCGGGGAAATCCTGACCCTGTTGGGGGTACCGGTTGGTCGGGTCGGTATGATCGTGGAACATCGGCATCCACAATATCGGGGCAGCTGGCCTGGCTGGCAGTCATCATGCGCAGAGCTGATGGCGCAGATGGAGGATACGGTCGCTTTCTCGATGTCTCATATGTATCAACAAGATCTTGTAACGATGCTGGTAAATGGTAGATGCATTCTTCCTCTTCCTCGGTTTGCTTGACACCATTGGCTGTACCATTTGTCCGTGGAGCTACATCGAAGTCAGTTATTCGAGCATACAAAACTGTCTTGCACACGTACTCTTTGAAGATGGAGTGGCCTCGGGGACTGCTGCTTGTTTCCCAGCAGCCTTTGATCGCTTGGACTGTTTCGTAGCGACAGGTACAGGGGCTGGCGCAGGTACTGGATCTGGCTCAGCAGGAGCAGGAGCTGGCGTGGGCTGCTTTGACTCTGGTTGTTGAGAAGCTGGCTGGGCAGAGGATGTCGCAGGAGAGTTGGTCGCGCTGCTTCGGGCTTGCGGCAACGGGGAAATGCTTGATGATGCGGCACCAGGGGGCGGGGGTAGTGGAGAGATACCAACGTTGTTCTTATCACTCGCGGCGGCGGCAGCGGCAGCTGAAGCGTACTTGAGTCCTTCTCCGGCGGGCCTTGTAGGTACTGATGCTGGCTTCATAGCCGGTGTACCCGTATTGCTATTGCTGATAGTCGGTAGCGGAGCATGGAGTGTCGCGAGTGCAGGTAAAGGTGACTTTGTCTGAGAAGATGTCCTCCGTACTGGGTCAACTTCCTTCTGCGCCTTTCTCGTCAGTGTCTTTGGCAAGTCATTGTCGGTCGTAAGGTCCTCTTGCACAGACTGCGCATCCAGGGAAGAGTTCTTCTCGTTGTCCGCGCCCATGCCGTAGGTACCTTCCTCGTCCTCAAGGTCGAGCTCCTCATACATCTCCTCATCTTCCATAAAGTCTTCGTTCATGCCATCCGACACATAATATCGAATGCTCTCTTCCAGGTCGGTCACTTGCTCGGGCTCGACTCCGCCATTCTCCAAGGATCTCCTGATAAGTTCCAGCTTCCCCTGGTGCCACTTATGTCGTTCGATAATGCGTTCAACTTCGGCGATGCGTTCGGCCTTGGCGGTGTTGTTTTTGCCCTTCTTCATGGTCGCTTGTATCGACTCGCCTTCTGCCTCGAGTGTCTCGATTTGCTGTTCCAGCTCATCGACCATTCCGCTTAAGAATTCGCTGGCCTCAACCTTTGCCTGCTCCTTGGGATCGAGCTTGGCGGCAGCTGATAGACCTTCCTTGGAGTATGCTTTCGTTTTCATGGCCTTCTCCACGGCCTTGAACTTTTCCATTTGCTAAAAACCCGATACAACCGTCAATAAAATACTGGATGACAATCCGTTGTCAGTGGCGGGGACCAACCGTCTCGATCAGCTTGCGATGCTCCAGCAAGGGAGCTTTATCCTTGATATCGTTGCTGGCGGCCCATGTTTTGATTTGATCCCTCAGTCGCTGGAGCTTCTTGATCTCGCGTTTCAGGTTATCTTCTAGCTTGTCCTTCTGGGCAGGATTACTCGATTGTTCAATCTTTTCGTAAATAGCTTCGAATTCGGCCACACCCTCGGAGACCTTTTTGAAGCACTTGTCGACCTCTTGGGCCAGTTTCCTCGCCGCCATTATGAGTAGAAAAATGCAGCCACTCGGGCGCAGCGTCTAGTCGCTCGTATAGATCTTGTCGCCCGACTGTTGTTGTCGATTCGGTTTGTTGTGCGTCTCTGCCAGCACAGTTCGGAAGGATGTGGCAGCGCAGGGAAGGGTTATTATGATATAACGGCGCGTCGCGGGGGGCGATCCGATAGTCGTCGTTAATTATAATAGGGTGATAATACAGTGTCCGTCGTCCTGAGCGTCAATGCCGGGAACCGATGGCAGATGAGATGTGGTTGTTGGAAGTTAAGGCTGGCCAGCACTGATTTGGTGGTTAAGGTTAGTTCAAGGTGGGAGGTGCAGCCATCCAATGAGGCTAAAGAACCGCGGTGTCGTGATTGGCTATGGGGCCGCGATTCACTGGGGCGAGGCGCGGTTAGTTGCTGAAACGTGTTGCAGTGGGAATTGAGGGTTGAACAAGTATTTACAGGCTTGAAAAGGCTGCAGCAGTTGAAGATGGTTAGTCAATCTGTAGGCATGACATTTCTGTGTAATATTGAATTGGCAAGCCAAACAGTGGTGCAAATTCAGGCCAATATTTCAAGGTGCACTCAATGACGTGGTTTTTTTTCTTCGCTAAGCGTCTACCTTCGTACCACTGAGATACCTTGCTGGCAATTAAGTGCCCTCCACTGCCTCAGTGCTTTGCGTACCTAGGTAAGGTAGGCCATACCTAGAACGTCCAGTCTGGAACTCAATCGCCAGTTGACGTCTCTACCAAGTAATGAATATTGAAACTATAAGGGAATCCTACACTTGGTGGCTTCTAATCCATCCAAGCCTCTCCGCTTGAAAAAATTGAGGTTTTATCATCAAAACTAATCTTGATTGTCTTTCTCTGCTGTGATACACGGTAAATCGGGACCGATGCCGATCCGACTACGGAGTAACGTCTAGATACAAAGAGCTTGATTTAATCCAGTCAAAACAGACTGATATCTTACTCAACTTGCATCTCCCAGTCACAAAAACTCACACATCACGAATATGAAGGGTACGTGCAGTACAGTGTGATCACCGACACACACAAACCAAAGATAAATGAATCATAAGCTCACCGACAACTCAAATAGTCATATTACAGCGAGTCCTGTCGGCGTCCGTCACCGTCGACAAGGAGATGATCTCTTCCATCGGCAAGGGCGTCCTGGCATTTGCAGCGGTGGCCCCCGGGGACACGGAGAAAGAGGCTGACCTGATGGCTGCCAAGGTGCTGAGGATGAAGCTGTGGGATGACGAAGAGGGCGGCAAGGTAAGGAAGATCAAAAGAGGCTGGACCGATAATTTCGTTTTGTGGTTTCAAATCTGACTGGCTTTTGTCAAGTGGAAGAAGAGCGTCAGCGATATTGGCGGCGAGGTTCTCTGCGGTGAGTCTCCCCTTCTCCTCTCTGGTCGTGTGAGGGTAGCAGCAGTGGCTGAGACCCAGAGGCAGTGTCGCAGTTTACGCTGCTGGCTAGTACAAAGAAGGGAGCCAAGCCTGACTTTCATGGTGCTGCCAACCCGGAGGAGGCACGTCGGCTATACCACTACTTTGTGCAGAAGGTCAGAGCGGGTTACATGGAGGAGAGAGTCAAGGATGGGCAGTTCCAGGCCATGATGGAGGTTGCTCTCGTCAATGACGGGCCGGTAAGTTTGGTGAAAGGCTTCTTTTCCTTGTATTTGGGGGTGTCGGTGCTAATCACGGGGGGGACATCATAGGTTACTCTGGAATTGAAGAACGGCGCCAAGACGGAGTGAGTGGCTGCTATAGAAATGAGAAATATAAGGTAGGGAAATAGGCTATTGAAGATACCTTAGACAGGACGGGTAGACAAAAGAGAAAGCAAAGGGATCACAGCAGGTGCATTGACGGATCTGCTATAGGTTCGGTAATAGAGACATGTTTTGGAATCAGCCCTGGCGTCTATAATCAACATGATATGATTCTTGAAGAGTTCAGCTTCCCCGGGCTGTCACATCTTTGATATGTGTGTTACAGCATACAACCTGATAGGGTCAGTTGTCGACGGGACTGT